GTTATGTAAATTCCATGTACTAGCTGGAGTACCCGTCTCGACCTATAGATGGAAAGCTGCGACAGGTGGGTTTTGTTTTTTCCGGTCAAAGCAAGCTACATACTTAGATCAAAACTAAAATATATATTTATCCAGTAATGTGTGTAGCTAATTCAATGAACTGATGAATATTACAATGTATCACTTGGGTACCCTCGCTGTTAACGATATTTTCGGCCGTAAACCCAATAATATATTACGAAGTTCAACCAGCTTAGAAAAATAATGAGACACATTCAATTATAACGAAAACTGTTAACAAAGGAATACAAATACCTTACTGTTTGTTTGTTTTACAGGAAAGCCACATTGGGCTATTTGTTATGTCCACTTCAGCGAATGGAACCTCAGATTTTAGCGTTGCAAGTCCGAAGTCTTACTGTGGTTCGCTTCATTTAGTAAATATTTTATTTTCTTTACAACTGATGTGAAATATTTGATTTCGATGAAGCACTAATTGTAAATACTTTTTATCATCGAAGGGGATAGGACCAACTTTGTGAACTTACCTCACGTGATTGCCATGGTCGGCTTACCTGCTCGGGGCAAAACTTACATTGGAAGGAAACTGACGCGTTATCTAAATTGGATCGGTATCAAAACTAAAGGTCAGTGAACTAAGAAGTACAACTATTTTATTATGTACTCAATCCCATTCTAAAAAGAAAACTTACAATCTACACAAATGTTTATGAATGACCTTTTCTGATTTTCGCTAATTACAAAAATGTATTGTGATATATAGTTACTAATCCTTCCAATCATATTTGACGACTTAAAATTATGTTGCAGAAAACAAATAATGATAACATGAACATTAATATAAACATGTGGCTATCTACAGTTAAATCGATCTTTTTAATGTTAAACTGTTAAATATTATAAATTACCTGTTTTTATGCACAATGATGTAGTATTGTTTCATCAATTATTTGGTATCGATATAAGAATAATAGTACACCTCTATCCATGTAACTACTTTGGGAGGAGCTTCACCAAAATTGGTATGGAGGTTCGTTAGGTTCATGCAGGGGTACATACAAACTTTCAGTTTTGCGGTTTGTATGTGCGTTTTTTACCATTACTTCTTCCCCCGTAAATGGATTTTCACCAAATTTGGTATGGAGGTTCATTGGGTCAGTGGGGAGATACATAAAAATTTTCAGTTTTGCATTTTGCGGTTTTTATGGGCGTTTTTTACCACTACTTCGCTCCCTGTTGATGGATCTTCACCAAATTTGACATGGATGTTTGTTGGATCCATGCGGAGATACATGCAAACTTGCGATTTCACATTTTATGTTTTCAAGTTTTTACAATTACATATAAGGAAGCAATTTTTTTATGTTCTAAGATAACCTTTCATTAATCACGAATTTACATAACTTCCGTCCAAATCTTTGTGGTCTATAGATGGAATGGTTAAAACAACCTGATAGTGTTATCTTTGTGGTTAAAACAACCTGATAGTGTTCTCTGCATCAGAACCAAAGAGAATCCCATGTCAGTATAAATCTCTGCACCAGAACCAAAGAGAATCCCACGTCAGGCGTGATCTCGCAATTCGTCTTTCCATTTTCTGTGAAAATGATGCTAAGGTATTTGAACCTTTTGGTCAGTTTAAGATTGTTGATGTTCAGGGGTTTGCAATATGCACAGTAAACATTAGATTAAAAGAAACATGCCCCTATTGTTCCAGACGTTTTAAACGTTCAAATATAAAAACGCTATACTTAATTAATTTTACTCGTTAGCAGTTTGATTTCTAGTTTTCCTGTAAAAAGGTAGCTTCCTCTAATTGGAGGCTACTTAATTATTTAACCTTTATTGGTGTTCCTTCATGTTTTTCTTGAAAAAGTAAAACACATACAATTTAAACAATATTGCATTGCTAAGAGAATAAAAAACGAAATGTTTAATTTCGACTAATCAGAAATGAAACATCTAAATTGATCGATCAAATATTAGTGAAAAAACTATAGCATGTTTAATAAAAGGTGTAGCTGTACGACATACATCTTTAGGGAAGGTTATCAATATCAGACTTGGTGTAGTTGTATGACGTACATCTTTAGGGAAAAGTTATCAATATCGGAACATGGTATAGTTGTATGACGTACATCTTTAGGGAAAAGTTATCAATATCGGAACATGGTATAGCTGTATGACATACATCTTTAGGGAAGGTTATCAATATCGGAACATGGTATAGTAGTATGACATACATCTTTAGGGAAAGTTATCAATATCGGAGCTTGGTGTAGTTGTATGAATAACATCTTTAGGGAAAAGTTATCAATATCAGAACTTGGTGTAGTAATACGACGTACATCTTTAGATAAAAGTTATCAATATGGGAACTTAGTGTAATAGTATGACATTCATCTCTGGGACAAAAGCTATCAATACCAGATGCTGAAGCTTTCGAAAAAATGTGAATGCGTGTCACGCTTTTTGTTATTTGGTTTAAATAAAATTTACAAAGTTACAAATTATTCATAGTTTGATTAATAGGGCAACTTGCAGGTGGCGGGATCGAAACCTGTCGCAAAACGTACTCATCCTGTCAGTCGGGAGGCCTTATAGAGAGTAGCCTAAGAGTGAGTAGTAGATGGTGAGTAGTTGATGGTGAGTAGTAGATGGTGAGTAGTTTCTTTCACTCTAAATAAGTTTATCAGTTGTTACTTCTATCACGCTTAACCATAGTACTGCGCTGTCCTCACCCCTGTCAACCAATAGTTATAAGGCGTTGTGAAGGTGCGAATCTATTGCCATAACTCAGCAACCATTCTTCAACTGAAGGATGGGATTCCTGAAGGTGACGTTTGTAAATAAGGTTGATCATTCTTGGAAACATGTGGGGTGCTCCTCCTTTATATATACCACAGAATATGTTACCTTCACTGTTCTAAGTATCCATAGGACCAGTGAATGAGAAACTGACAGTGGTTAAAACAACCTGATAATGTTATCTTTGTGGTCTATAGATGGAATATTTATACTGACGTGGGATTCTCTTTGGTTCTGATGCAGAGATTTATACTGACGTGGGATTCTCTTTGGTTCTGGTGCAGAGATTTATACTGACGTGGGATTCTCTTTGGTTCTGG